ACAAAGAAAATTAGTCAAAACTTGGTAAAATGTCTTTTCGCTATTTACATTCTCGCCATGGTACATATTTATTGTGTGTATACATTTTTGCGATCATTTTTCAAGTTTGTTCTCATTGTTTGGTTTTAAATAAAACTGTATTAAAAGATGTTATGTCTTTTTATTCTAAAAACAATATTGTAGGTTCGGACTCGATTCTTTAGAAATGTCCCAATTTTAGGCCACAGATATCTGGTCGCCGTACCTATAGGCGATCCCTACGAGACATTCGTCCATATGAATAAAAACTAAGCAATTGCTTTTTATTAAATTTGCAGATCTTTTAGTTAAATTTCTTGAATAAATCGTGTAAAATGTCTGAAATTTTATGAAAAGGCAATTGCTTAGTTTTTATTCATACGGCCCACTGTCTATTATAGACCTTTGACAGTTTTTGAAAGAGCACACCTGTATAACATCGTCATCAAAGCTATTGTTCTTTATACATACATATGTACTTATGTATTAGGGATGTTAATTTTTCGGCTTTTTCCGATCCCGGGATTTTCGAGATGGCGTTGACAAAATCCCGGGATCCCGGGATTAGTCCCGTGATTTAGATATTCATTACTTTTCAACAACTTGAATCGAAAAAATTGCTTCTATATTGTTTGAAAAGCTCTCCTACCATGAAATAAATACTAAATAAATGGGTTTGAAACCTACTTTTTTATTTAAAGAGGCGTTTTTATTTTTTCTCTCTGACCACAGGATTTCTTTTGAAGGAATTTGTAATTTCAAAGATATGATTAATTCCAAAAATTATTAAAAAAATTCAATGCAATGTAGAATAAAAATATGGGTAACAAATGCAATAGGAATTTTTTTTTAATTTAAAAAATTTAAATTTTTTGAATTCACAAGGACGAATAGGTAATTTTTAAGCTGACAAAGTCTGAAAAACGAGATTCTGTTATCGAGTTTATATAAGCCCTTAACATATAATTTTTTCAAAAACAAATATTGCGAAATTACAAGGATAGAATTTTAAAATGATATTTTCAATATTTACCAGCCCTTCTGTACTAGAAACCTGTGAACAGACTTAAAAAAATTCTGTGTGGTAGAATCTGGAAAAAAATGTGATAAATTTCAAAAAAATGTGGTAGATCTCAGGTTTTGGATCAAACTTTGTGCAAAAATTAAAGAAATTCTGTAAGGTTTCACCTAAATTGCAAACTTTTTAATTAGACTCTAAAAAACTAATTTTATTTATTTATTTATTTATTTATTTAGCCAATGAATACAATAAAAATTCTTATAGGCTAAGTAGAAAATAGTTTGACATTATTAATACATAATAAGAAAAAATAAAACTACTTATAAAAAAGATTCTGAGAATTCCTAAAGCGATTTTTTGAAGTTGAAAAATCGATATCAACATATTTATAAATTCTGTTGAATTCAATAAAGGCTCTAGTGACGGGAGCATTTCGTCCATATAGAGCCCTAAAAATACCAACATGGAAAAACTCTGAGCGTAGAGGTCTGGCAGGTATATTAAAGAAAATCCTCTCAAGGAGTACGGGACAGTCTACAACACCACAGACTAGATCGAAAACAAAAGATAAAGAAAGGATTATTCTCCTACTTTGCAAGGATTTTAAGTTTATGAACAGGCATCTCGATTCATAGGAAGGGATAGGGTCCGAAAAGCGTAAGTTATGTAGCGCAAACCGTAAGAAAATTTTTTGGATCCGCTCAATCCTAGCAATATGACACGCATAATAAGGAGACCAGATAAAGGACGCGTATTCAAGCCTGGAGCGTACAAAAGCCATATACAAAAGTTTCAGTGTATACGGGTCGGTGAATTCCTTACCATGGCGCCTTACAAAAGCAAGCATGGAATACGATTTTGTAATAATAAAATTTATTATATAAATTGAGTCAAAAATTACTCCAAGGTCCTTAATTTCATTTAAACGCTGTAGTGGCGACATGGAAATATGATAAGAGCTCTGAATAATATTACAATGTTTAGCATAGGTAACGTAAAAGCATTTATATGTATTCAACGAAAGACGATTTTTTATGCACCAATTGCTAACAGTATCGATATCGTTTTGCATAAATTGAGAATCGAGAGAGTTACTGATCGGAGAATAAATCTTAAGATCATCCGCGTAAAGCAGAAACTTTGACGAGGAGAAACATGTGCAGATATCGTTAATAAACAAGGCAAAAAGCAATGGACCCAGGATGCTACCTTGCGGGACTCCTGAGCGTGCAACAAAAGGCAGAGACCTAACATTGTCGAAAACAACCATGCAACGACGATTGTATAAGTACGATGAAATCCAGCTCAGGAAAACTGAGTGGAAACCGATGCAGGCTAATTTTTTTAACAGGATACTATGGGACACCCTATCGAAAGCCTTAGAAAAATCAGTATAGACCGTGTCAACCTCAAGCGCTGATTAGAAAGCAGTTATGCAGTCATCTGAAAACACTGCTACACACCCGGTATAAAGCCACGCTGCTGCGGACATATTGAATTCTTAGCAGCAGATAAAAGTTTGTCTTGGACAATGCACTCAAAAAGTTTTGACGTGGCAGAAAGCTTTGAAATGGGTCTGTAGTTGCTGATATCGTTTTTGTTACCACTTTTAAAAATGGGAGTAATGAACGCTAATTTCCAGTTGTCTACAAAAGTGCCCGACGATAAGGATTTATTAAAAATTTCCAATAATGGATACACTAAAGATTCACACTGTTTAAACAAAAGTGCAGACAAACCATCATCGTCAGTTTGTGAGGAGGGTTTAAGCCGAGCAATGCCACTAAGCACGTCCTCAGAAGTAAGTGTTAATTTGCCAAATTCAAGAGACTGTTGAATATCGAAAGAAACGTTCTCATCGCTATTGGAATCTGTTGTGAAATTGGACTTAAAAAATTCAGCGAATAAATTAGCGGCTTCTGTAGTAGTATTAGCAGCATTGTCATCCATAAAAAGTGCCGACGGAATGCTGGAACAAGATTTTTTCGAATTAACGAAATGCCAAAATGCTTTTGGATTTGATTTTAAGTTGGCTTCAAAACTAAGGACATAGTTTCTATGCAAAAATTTATCCAAACATACGAATTCATTGGAGTATTTTTTATATTTTAGTATAAAAAAGTGCAAGATTGAAGTTGTTAAAAATTGCATTGAGTTTTGGCAATTTTTTTCCTTGACAGTGTAAAGCGTCGTATCAAGACATTTTTCGAACATAAGTTTTTTTGCAACCTTGCGGAGTGCTGCCAGCGTTTCATTTTATCACATCTTGATGTAGCGAACAAATGTGGCACGTTACAGAAACCGCTGCTTGGGATTTGCCGATTTTGACAATTCTCAAGTAAATGTAAACAACGCCTCAGAAACTTTAGATGCACTGAAATTTGCTAATACTTTCTCAAAAATCGCCGTTTTTTTAATTTTCGCTATTAATTCTTTTTATAAATCATATATTTTAAAATTTAACATAATGAAACCACGTTTTATGTCGAAAAATTTATTATTGAGAAAATTTACTATTTTACAGTTTATTTTATCCTCCTATACGGCTTTATTTACTTTTAATTGAGAAATTTCATCGCCGCCGGGAATGCGGAATCTTGTATTACATCATTCTTGTTACCATATAGGTAGTGATTAGTGTTGGACAATTTTCGCTCTTAAAATTAAGAAAATTATGTCGAGCAAAAATAAAACTAGGTACTCAAAAACGCGAATATGTGGTAGATTTCAGTTCTTGTGAGGTAGATGTGGTCGATTCTTAAAAAAGTGGCAGATCTACCATAATGGGGTAGAAGTCCGATCACTGCCAGAAACTTGAATCTGTTTAAATTCTACAGGATTTCCTCATTAATTTTATACCCATATTTTTTCTCTAAACACATTTCTCTGAATTTTTTAAATCATTTTTGAATTACTGACGTCAGAGTGAAAAACTAAAAACGCAATTTTACTATATTTGGCCCATAGTTTTGCGAATATATTGATATTTATGTTTAAAATTTACTATTGCGCGGTGTTATATGTGTAATGAGCTACACATTTATAAAAATATATTAATTCTTAAATAAAAAAAGAAATCTAACCAATTCTGGTCAAGAAAAGGAGTTTCTATTATTGCCATCAGTGCAAATTACAAATCCCGAAAATCGCGGGATCACTTGGCAAGAATCCCGGGATTTTCGACACCTTAAAAAAATCCGGGATCCCGGGATTAACATTCCTAGTATGTATGTACAAATGTGACTATGTCACTCGGATCATTTACGCTACTGGGAAATATCGACTTCCTCTTGCGTATGTAATACATACATATGTATGTATGTGTGGGGTCGAACCCGGTTTCCGCCCAACATCAAAAAAAAAGGAAATGTTTTTTTCTAATAGCGGTCGGCAGGCAATGGCATACCTCTGAGTCTATTCTGTCATGAAAAACTGGCTTCTCATAAAAATACAATCGCCATTCGGAGTAGGCGTAATACTGTAGGTCCCGACCCCTGGTTTGACATCAAGGCGCCCGTCGCAAATCGGTGGAAAAGCTCGGCCAAACACTAATGTATTGGGTAAGCGTCACTCTATTACTATTAAATATTATGTATTTACATACTTAATCCTCTTATAAGAGAAATTTAAAAATATTTTATAACCCATACCGATTATAAATCGTACCATTTTAAGAACATGCCTCTGAAAAAAGGTAAGTAATATGCGAATGAAAATAACAAGTCATTGTATAGAAAGTATATGTGTACACATGTAAGTATGTATGTAAATGCATATGACCATTTGTATTGGCGGCGCAATTACAGCAATCAGCAAGCTCGACCAACAATAAAATTAATAGCTAACATACATAATACATATACAATTCTTTGCGCGCATTTAAAAGCGCGCATATACCTGCTATATAAAAGGAAAAAATTTTACAAGGAACCCTTTGGTATGTTTTGAGGTCTAAGCGTACCTGTGTCTAAACAAATACCCATTATCCATTCGGTAGCCAGTTTAGCGGAATCGGCGCTATTTTCGTTGATTGGCGGATACTCTTGCTTGGGCGAACGTAAAGAAAAAACGATGGGGAGAAATATATTGTCACTGGCACTTTGTCACAGGTTCCTTTATAACGCTATAAGCTAGGAGTTATACTTGTGCTCTAAGTTTTAAAATTAGCACTCGCACTACAATTACGCATTAAAATATCGGTTGATAAGCGAAAGCGTTTCAATTTCATTTAAAGTTATAATTTGGTAAAACATTTTCAAGCTGACTGTTGAATCGTAAGCAACAGTTAAAAACTATTTTCACTTTAGCGATTTATTCCATTAGCCCACTGCTAGTTTATTCTTTACAAAAACAATTTTCACTTACATATGTACATATGTATGTATGTGTATAAATATAATGTATTCATGTTTTTTCAAAATCTGTAATGCTTTAACATTGGTACACATATAATGTAAGTTTGAATCACTTTATGATATTTCATTCCATTAATTCACAAACACACAGTTTAACAAACGATTTAACTGATAATCAAATTCTAATTTTTGTACTGAGTGGTGGTAATAAATTTGTTTTGCTTTGTTTTTCCACTTTCTTCCTTTATTTATCAGACTATTTTCATCAAGGCGCGATGCGTATTCAGTTTGTGGCACGTTTTACATGTTTTACGGTCGAAATCAAACTGAATTTTCACAATGGCAAATTACTGAGTTTTTAACTTTCCGGTCGCGTGGCTTACTCAGTTCTTGCAGTCCTTCCAGAACATGGACGTGCATATATGTAACAATTACCAGTGTTGCCAACTTTTAATTTTCAAAAGTACCAACAACTTATAAAAAGCGTTTTAACACACTAATAGCGCCAATTTTTTTTTAATCAAAGGATCCTTTTTTCATAAAAGTTTGTATTTAACTAAAGTAAAAAATTAACAATATTTACAAGTATAGTAAAACCCGCTTAAGTACCTCACGAAAAATGTCAGCTTTTTGAGGTACTTAGGCGGGTTGGGTACTTAATAATTACTGATGTAGTTACATCTTCTTGTTAACTTACATAAAACTTGAATAACAACATTTAATGAAGTATACATACTAGAGTTCATAAAAACACTCTTTTTGGAAATTCATAAACGCTACATCATAATATTGTTATTTGTGATAAAAAAAGAGACACGTATTTTTTTATTTTGAAAAAAAAAGTGTTCTTAGAGGTCGCGTTGGTCGGTTTTTTATAAAAACGCTGATATTCTCAATTTTTTTATTTTCTTGACATGTTAAAATGCAGCTAAAAATGAGGTTTTTACATATAATTACTCTGGTATTATTGGGGAACTTTCCCTTAATTACACACCTGTCTTGGACAATTAGAATGGGTCTAGTTCCCGAAAATATGCTCTCGAAAAGACTCTAGTACAATTAAAACGTTGATACTAACCGATTTACGCATTGTCATGGGTTGGAACTTGTTACCAGGGCGTTTCTGGGGTCGCTAATTAGGAATCTGAAGTCAGTTTTTCGAAATTCAAAATGGCGGTCCATTTTTTTAAAAATGATTGGATTTGTTCGAAGCCCGGCACTCGAGAGTTCTTGTGGTCGCCGATTACGAATCTGAAGTCAATTTTTTTAAATTCAAAATGGCGGATCCAATATGGCGATCAAATTAAAAAAAAGTACTACATACATGGTACTTAAGCGGGGGGATACTTAAGCGGGTTTCACTGTATACATCCATAAATCAATACACAAAACTTTTTAGCTCATGACGATTGAATAGCTCACACGTGCTATGATCACTCATGCTTACGACGTAATACCGAAGTACATACTGCACATTAATAAAATTATAGTTTAAAAAACTAAAACCTCGCTATTATAATTTCCATTCGTACTGTCATCAGGTATGTAACTTGAGAATAGAAATCGCAGCATCTTTTAGGCGCATCAATATTACATAGTTACACCCCGAGCTAATAAAAGGGAGGTAATAATAAAAATGGTATATCTCGAGAAAGAAAAATCGAATCGTAACAACCGAAAATTAATTTTCAAGGGGAAGAGTAATACTAAATGATTCCCTAAGTAGAAATGAGCAAAAAAATTCATGTTTCCATAATATAACATCAAATATCGGCAAAAACCGTGTTTTTGGCACTTTGAGGTTAGGACATCTCAAAATTCTAGTGCTAGAGCAATTGTGCGGGCAGATTTAGATTCAGCACCAAGAAACGATGGATTTTACTTAGGTGCTAAAAAAATCAAAATTTGTACTAATAATTAGAAAAGAAAAAAGAAGTACTTAACTTACCTGCGTACTTCAGCTTTTTATCAATCATGGTTATATTTTAGTGCATTTAAATTTGTAGATTCAGTGCTGCCTTCAGGTTTTAATTATATCGCAGAAATTATAGTTCAGAAGAAAAGCACTAGTTGATTTTAATTGGCGTTTTAATTTTCAAAAATCACTAAATCTAGTGCTTAAGCACCAAGTTGGCAACTATGACAATTACATACAAAGATACACTTGCATATACATTCATACATATCTATTTGCCAGATGGTCGTTTGTGTGGTTGGTAGACATACCGTGCGTTCATCACAGTGGGTCGGTTTGCCACCAGAAAAGTAAAGAGTAAGCACACCTGGTACCAAATGCCCGAGTGGAATAGGACAAATAGCTAATAACTTCAAGGGGTTTTCCTTGATAAAACAGTCTCCTTAAAAGAAGAAGAAGTATTCTTTCAATTAAACCATTACGTGTAGCTTACAGAAAATCAGATCATTCGGCAAGTTGAGCTGGATTTCTGAGGATAATCAATATCCTATGCGCTCCTCAACTTCAATGTAAATTATTAGAGGTTCATGGTAAAGAAATGACAAAGCATTACTTGCACAGTCGAGGACCAGCAATCAATTCGGACTTGAAAGAATTGCCAAGAAATTAAAAAAAAAGAAGACTAGATGCGACGAAGCAGATCAGAGTCTTTTAAGAAGTTGTACATTTTCGATTTTCAAACAAAGGGAAAGAGACTAGAAAATGTAATGCGCTAACTGCAGATTCACAAAAAGGTAACTGGCTTAGACGATCACCATTCATATTAGGAATGTTTCGAATGTAATATTTTTCACATTCGCGAATGCGAATACGAATTTTCAAAGTGCGAATGGGTGAATGCGAATGCGAATGTTAAGAATAACATTAAAAAAGCAATAATCAACTTAAGTCATCGTTTTTTTACTTAAAAATTTTGTAAATTATTAGAACGTTGAACGAGTTCTTAATCTATACAGTGTTTTAATCTAGTAGTCAAAGCTCAAACGGGGCATAATACACCGTGAGACAAAAACCAACAATTTTTAAAACACACAAAACTAGGAGCCAAATATAGTATAACTGCGTTTTTCCTTTTTCTCTCTGACGTCATGATTTGTTTTTTAAAGGACTTCGAAATTTCTAGGATATGGTTGAATAAAACAATTATTTAAAAGATTTGGTGCATTGTAGAGTAACAATATGGGTATCAATTAAAAGGAAAAATTCTGTAGAATTGAAAATAATTTAATTTTTTGGTGCACTAGGACGAATAATATGAAAATGTTCTTTTAAAACTTTATCCTTGAATATCCTTGGAAATTTCCAATATTTATTAAAAAAACATAATGTCAAGGAATAATATGTAAACTACAACATCCTCGAATTTCGTCCTTCTAACTTTATTAATTTTAGATAAAAAAATTTACACTTCTCTTTATAAGATATTGATAGTTACAATATACATAAATTTAGATACTGGAATAATTACACTGTACAGCACTCGGCTGGGTATTGGACCAAACCAATTTTTTTAAGAGATTGAGTCATAGGTAAAAAAGTAATTTTTCCATTTTTTGAAGTTAGTCTCCGAAATCGAAAAATGGGCCTTCGAAGTTCGAAATAGGACCTTTGGTAAAAATTATTTTTTATTATTATATGTAAACTAGGCAATGCCCGCTAGCTTCGCGGCGCCTAATAAAAACTTTTGCGTGGGCCAATGCAAAATTAGCGTTTAAAGTAAAAAAGTAAAGTAAAAAAATTGAAACGACTAAAGATCAGAATCCTCCTCATATATAGACCACAAACAGTAGCGGTTTGATGCCATATGGAATACTAATCCCTTTTGATGTCATAAGCTTTGCCGATGGTCTTATTTCCACCTGTGAAATCTCAGTCAAGCGTGCATAATCGTCTTTGATCTTGCAACTATAACATTGGTTCTTATGAGGAGGGCCGAGAATCCTCGTTGCCCCACAGGATGGAAATTTTCCCGTATATTGGCTAATGAGTCGTGTGATCTCATGAATATCGTTCAAATGAAGCCATTGATATACCCACCGTGTTCCTTCCTTGTCAATTCGCCACTTATATGAACTGGTTTCTTTGAGTCTTACTGCTGCAATAACGGCCGCCCCGAGCAATTTCCTTAATCGCAGTAAATGCAAGATCGCATTAAGGGTGCAATGGGGCGTCAGGAAAAGGTGAGCTTACACAATTTCATTTAGCCATCTGAAAAGTAAATTCGTATAGAATAAACATAGGGCCAAAGCGGACTAAGCATATGTGGTTTCTATATATTACGGCTGCAGCGCTATCCTTGGGTAAGGATTTTCTAAATACCTCGATTCCAGCGCAAGCGAGTTTTCTAGTAGTTATTCTATAATAGGACCATATGTGAAAGGTATAACCTCCGACAATTAGACTGAACTCCATCCAGCGGTTTTTGAGTTTAGCCCGAACAACAAAAACAGCTACCATTTTACGTATACAGTTACGTATGTATGTAAATAAAATTTCACACTTTGTGCAAGATTTAAAAAAAACCTTCAAAATGTTCACAAAAAAATTTTACTCTTTCCCAAAAATTAAGAAGAAAGTAACAATCGCCCACTGCGATTTAAAAATCTAGGAGAAAATGGCTCCCAGTCGTCGCTCCGCCAACAAAAACAGTTATATGTTTTTTAATAACTTTTCAGGAGAGCAAAAAAACTGATTCCTGGTGCCAATAGCTAATATTTTGCAAGTGTCGCATTAAAAAAATTTATATATTAAAAATATGCTATTGATTTAGACAAAAAAAACATATTTTTGACCAATTACGACGTGATCAACATTTGCGCCGCTTTAAAGCACATAGCTGTTTTTATACACGATTTAAATTTGCTTTTGGCGGTATGGAATCGTATGCAATTTGTACATAATACTGCCGTTAGGCCTAGATGCAATGTATAGAAGTTGATGACTCGATTATTTAACTCTCCGTTGCTCCTATCTAGCGAAACGTTGGTGTCCTTCTCGTGGGGCTAGATCTTAGGTGGTGACATGGGGGCCCTTAGGGGTTCGGCATGAACTAACAGGGATGCTCCGCATGGGAACCTGTGCAGGACATGTGCTTACGCAGTTTCCGATGTGGAGATTACCGTACCAACGAGCCCAGGGGGTTCCGCATTGCGGGGCTACGGGTGTCACAATCCCGGGTACCCTAGTCAAAGGCTACCAATCCTGAGTCGGTTAGAGGCTTAATTGGGAGAAGAGTCTGCGACTTTCGGAAGTCAAACCTAAGACTTTAAAAGAGGAACCGCGGGCGAACAGATGCCCCTGGAGTGTGTACGCTGGCTAGATAAGCAAAGCCAGTGAGACGAACAAGGTCGAAAGACAGGCCAGGTGCACATGTAAAATCATATAGCT